CCAAGGAATGAGGCCATCTTTTCCTGGCTATTTATAACCAGAACTACTTGGGGGGTGGGTGAGTCAAGGAATGCTTAATAATGGAGAGGGAAAGGGAATGCCAGATAACCCTCCTGGGTGCAGCTGTTCCCTGGGCAAACATGAAATTGAGAAGTCCAACCTTACTCAAAGGCTGCCCCTGGGAGTGAAGATTGCAGACCTTTTTTTTTAAAAAACCAGAAAGCACTCAGCCGATCGAAGTTTTCATACTGTTCTCTCTTTCATCTTGATTTCCTGTAATAAACGCAGTCTAATTTTTAGTGTACTGAACTTGCTTTTGGGGAATTGGGAAGTTGAGAAAGAGATAAGCATGTCGATAAGAAGTAAAAGAAAACAGAAGTCAATTGTGATTAACTTATGAAATGTTATATGACAATGGTTTTGCATTTTTAACCCTGGGTTGAAGTGAGATAGAAACATGAGCTAAGGCACTGCGAGAGTGTGATCCATTAGGCCCCTGGGAAGCACCCAGGTATTGATGCTCACCCACCCGTCTTTCCTATTGTAAGGAACAGATGTTTCTGCACAAAGCAGGGATCTAACCCAAGGGGTCCATGGATAGATTTCAGGGGGTCTATGAACCTGGATGAGAAAAAAAAATCTTCATTTTCACCAACCTTTGGTTTACTTTATAATCCTATGCATTTTTATTTAATGCATTTAAATTCATTATTCTAAGAAGGAGTCTATAGATTTGACCAGACTGTCCAAGGGGTCCATAACACAAAACAACTAGGAAAATTTCCTGTACTTGCCCACACCAGCAACATCACTACCTCCTCCCCCTTCACTTATGTTTTCTGTTCTAGTCTTTGGTCAGGAAAGTACAGAATTTTAAAAGTGGCTAATAAAAATAATTTAATAGCTGACATTTATATAGCACTTTAAGGTTTGCAAAATGCTTTACAAATATTACCTCATTTTATCTTCACAACAACCCTGGTAGGTAAGTGCTATTATTAACCCAATTTTATAGATGAGGAGCCTGTCCTTGACAGGAGTTAAGTGACTTACCCAAGGTCATACAGCTAGTAAGTGTTTGAAGCTAGATTTGATCCTAGGTCTTCTTGACTTGTAGGTCCAGCGCTCTATCCATTGTGCCACCCAAACAGGAAATAGTATGAGAGTTCCTGGATGCCTAATTGAACTCAAGTCACCAGGCTAATACTAAATACATCTAACAGTACTGAGAGAATTAGCCAATACTAATGCTGGACAACTGTCAGTGATCTTTGAAAGATCACAGACACTTTGACCCACAGATACCACTACTAGGCAAATAGCACAAGAAAGTCAAGAGAAAGGAAAAGGTCCCATTTTTACCAAAATATTTGTGACAGCATTTTTCATAGGATTATAGATTTAGAGCTGGACGTGACCTTAGACACCTAAGTGAATCTAACCTCCATATTTTATAGATGATGAAACCAAGGGAAACAGAGGTTAAGTGACTTGTCCCTGGTCACATAGCTAGTTAGTGTGTGAGGTGGGATTCTAACTCAGGTCTTTTTGACTCCAACTTTGGTGCTCTACCCACCCTTAGCAGCCTACCATGCCACCTAGGTGCCTATCCATTGGGGAGTGACTGAACAAATTGTGATGTGAAATGTAATGAAATATTATTGTACCGTAAGAAATGATGAATAGGAAAAATTCAAGGAAATTGGGGAAGATTCATATGAAATGACACAGAGCAAAGTAAGCAAAACCAGAATGAATTGCATGAGACCTATACTAGGACAAAGGAAAGCAACATTAAAAGACAACAGAACCCTGATCAATGCATTAACCAGTTGTAACTTCCAAGAACTGACGGGAAAGGATGCCTATCTACTTTTAATGGACTCTCAGTGCAGAACGAGGCATATACTGTCAGACATAGCTCACGTGTTTTACTTAGCTATACTTTGTTTTAGGAATGGTTCCACAGTGAGAGAGGGGAGTCATATGGCGGTGATAGTGATGTAAAAAACTGATACGATATTTTCTTTTAAAGAGTAAGCATAGAAAATGGAAGTTACCAAGGAAGTGGAAAAAGGCAAATGTCCTGACTTTCTAAAAACGGAATAAATAGAATGGAGTCTGCAAGCTATCAACCAGTGAACTTGATTTAGATTCCTGGCAAAATTCTAGAACGTATTACTAAAAGACTGGTTAATAGACATAGAAAATAGGAAAGAGGGATCACAACAAGTGAGAATGGCTTGACCAAGAATGGATTATTTCAGATTAAGTTTATTTCCTTCTGAAAAGGAAGAAAATTGTATATATGGTCTACTTAGCAAAACAGTTGAACAGTGCTCACACTGTTCTTGGGCACAAGATGAAAAGTTGTTGTTGTTGTTGTTGTTTTATGGCTTGGCTGGACCCAAAGAATAGTAAACTCAGGAGGAAGGGGAAGAGGGGAAGGGGAGAAGAGAATAAGCATTAATTAAGTGCCTACTATATACCAATAACTGTGCTAAACACTTTACAAGAGGTTCGGTGCTGTTATTATCTTCATTCTACATTTGAGGAAATTGAAACAGAGGTCACTTAGACTTGCCCAGGGTCACATAGCTAGTAAGTGCCTGAGGCTGAATTTGAACTCAGGTCTTCCTGACTCCAGGTCCAGTACTATATCCCCTGTACCACCTAAGTGCCTCTGGGAAGTCTCATGGAGCGCTCCAGTGATCCGTGCTTGGTCCTGTTCTGGTTATCAATTTTATCAGTGACTTAGATAAAGACATAGAAAGCGTGTGTATTGTAATTTACAGATGACACAAAGCTAGGAGGGATCACTAATACATTGTATGACCAAATTGGAATCCAAAAGGAACCCAACAGACTAGAATGCTGGACCAAAAGCAATAAAGTAAAATTTAATAAGAATAAATGCAAAGTCATATACATGGGCTCAAATAATAAACTTCACAGATATAAGATGAGAGAGGCAAGGAGGTTCATTTGAAAAAGATTGGAGAAAAAAGGCAGATATTCAACAGGGGAAAAAAGTAGGTCTGGGAGTGCTATAGGAGAAACGTTCCCCTTGATGCAATGGAACTGAGTTGGGAAATCTAGGTTCTAGTTTCAGTTTTACCATTGGATAGCTCTGTGACCTTGGGCTGATCCCCGTATGTCTCTGAGCCTCAATTTCCTCATCCATGAAATGAAGGGGTTGGAATAGATGATCATTAAGGTTCTATCAACCTCCCAAATTCCATGATCCCATGAGACTCTTTTTTAATGGGGAAGTGAGGAGAGTGGTTCAGAGGTTCCAGATAAGACATGTGCTCCCTTCCACTTCTTCCTTCTGAAAATATTTTCTGCTTTATACAAAGATGATTCCCATTTCTTTTTAGCACCAAAGCTACAAGACCATGGTTGACCTGTCAGAAACATTTGGAACCCAACGATGTCTAAATGTGTCTGACTTAGTGATGGCGTATTAATGAAGAGCAAGCCAAATATATATATATATATATATATATATATATATATATATATATATATATATATATATATGTATATATATCATCCTGCCCCACAAGCCCAGGTGAAATCAGTGAGGGGAGAGGATAAGGAAGGAGAGGGATGGATGTATATAGCATCTGATAGATACCACAGTGGGCGTGCAAAACACTGTGGGGCAAATTCATTTCTGCTGGTCAGCCTTTTTTTTAAAAATGGAAACCCCCTACTTTTAATGGACCATTTTATTTATGGCTGATTACGAAGAAGAAGAAGAAGAAGAAGAAGAAGAAGAAGAAGAAGAAGAAGAAGAAAGAAGGAAAAGAAGAGAAAGGAAAAGAAGAAGAAGAAGAAGGAGGAGGAGGAGGAGGAGGAAAAGAAGAAGAAAGGAAAAGAAGAAGAAGAGAAAGGAAAAGAAGAAGAAGAAGAAGAAGAAGAAGAAGAAGAAGAAAGGAAAAGAAGAGAAAGGAAAAGAAGAAGAAGAAGAAGAAGAAAGGAAAAGAAGAGAAAGGAAAAGAAGAAGAAGAAGAAGAAGAAGAAGAAGAAGAAGAAGAAGAAGAAGAAGAAGAAGAAGAAGAAGAAGAAAAAGAAGAGGAGGAGGAGGAGGAGGAGGAGGAGGAGGAGGAGGAGGAGGAGGGGGATCATTCATAATAAGCTAAAGAAGACCCTCAAGATCATGCTCTGTGAGGGACTGATCTTAGTGCCTTCCCTCTGAGATTACTTCCAGTTTATCCTCTATATATCTTAGTTGTACATAGTTATTTGTTATGTTGTCTCCCTCATTAGTCTCTGAGCTCCCTAACAGCATGGACTGTCTTTCTCCTTTCTTTAGATCTCCAGTGCTTAGCACAGTGCCTGGCACATAGTAAGCACTTGATAAATGCTTATTGACTGACTGAATGACACAGTCTAGGGGAGAGGATATTTTCAGGAAACGTGGTAACTGCCTTGTCTGACAGGCTTTCACGTGAAAGAAGAGTTAAACCTTTGTTTGGTCCCAGAGGACAGAACCAGGAGCAGTGGGTGGTATGTAGATGTACTGAAGCAGATTCAGGCTTGATATGAGACAGAACTTCTTAATAATTAGAGCTGCCCCAAACTAGAATTGACTGCCTTGGAATCTTGGATTTCCCTTCACTAGGTTTCATGTAAAACCTTTATAACTGTCCATTGCATATGTGGTAGGGGGATTCTTGTTCAGGGGTGGGTTGAATTAGATGCCTCTAATACCTATTCCAACTCTCAGAGTCTGTGACTGGGGATGGAGATGGGAATGAAGATTGAGATGGAGATGAGGATGAGGGTGAAGATAGGAATGGGGATGAGGATGGGAAGGAAGATGAGAATGGGGTTGAGGATAGGCATGGGGTAGGGGTAGAGATAGGATGGAGTGGAACTGGGAGTGAGAGTAGGGATGAGGTGGGGATGGTGGTAGAGCCTCAAGGGGATGGAGCACAAGGCTTGACGACCCAATCCTAAAGAAGTTCAGGACAGAAAGCATAGGACCTTACCTCTCTCTGCAGATTCCCTGCTCTCTGGTCTAAAACGCTGAAAGACAGAAATTAGAAAGGGGTTGGAAATCTGATATGCCTGGGCAGTTACTGAAATCTCCCCTAGAACCAAAACCCTTCCCCAGAGGGCCCAATTTCCTAGTCTGATCCTATTTACAGCCTCCTGCACATGGAAAAGAATTGGAATCAGCATCAAGGAGGCTGGGCTAAAGGGATGGGTGTAAAGGTATCCCTGGTTTGACCCCTGGGCCATCCAATCACCAACAGCTCCTTCCAAATAGCATTTAATTATAAACACCTGCCTGTCTAGAAGTCTCTGATCAGTCTGTTTACTTTCAGAAATATCCATAGGTATAAGTAAAGCATTTTGCAACCCTTAAAGCACTCTTGTAAATGCTAGCTATTATTATTATCATAGAGCATGCTTCTGGCCTATGCTTCAAATACACCTATGAAAATATCTCAGAGGACCTGATAGTTTGAGCCTCAGTAAACAATAAACAAGATTGAGGGAACTTTCAAGGCTCCAAGGTGAGGAAAATATACCTAACCACCACTCGGACCTCTACTTTTCCCCCGACCACCACCCAAAAAAGTTCTTGGGCTAATGGGAAACAAAGATTTAAAGATGAAAGGGATCTTCAAGGTCAACTAATCTAACCCCTTCATTTTACAGATGAGGAAATGGAGACCCAGAGAAGGGAAATTACTTTCTCAAGGATCATTTATTCAGAGGCTCTGTGTCCCCGATGGCCCACTCCTCACATCCATTTTTCCTCTACCACATCTCTCATAATTTATCTGTCCTCCTTTCTACTCATGACCATTACCCCAGGCCCTCATCACTTCATACCTGGATCATTGTAATCATGTCCTATGTATTCTCTCAGCTTCCAATCTACCAGTCTTCTTAGAAATAAAATACTTTATTTGGTCATTTCAATTCTCATCACCCCACCCCCATCCTGACCAACTCTTTCAATGACAAAGAAAAGCAAAAACATCTCATTTAGTGACCCCTTCTGGCAGTGGATACAACATATGGCCCTAGTAGTCCCCTGCCTCCCTGTAATGAGCCAGGAGGTATGATTTGTCTGTTCTATAGTGCCTTCACCCGTTTTTCAGTTATTCCAAGTTCCATATCCTTTTTGCCATCACGGCTCATAAATGTTCTCTTGATCCAACTTATTTTGCTTTGCATCAGTTCATGTGAATCTTTCCATGTTTCTCTGGATCCTTCATATCTCCCAATTTCATTCATTATATTCATGTACTTGTTGATTCTCCCTTTCTCTATCACTAAATCCATGATCCCAGTGTCTTTTCTGGGCGAGGGGAAAAGATTAGTGGTGAGGAGTGGACATATGCCTAGTAATAGTAGGACCAACCACTCAGTCAAAGAGTATAGAAAGATTGGATATTTCTATTGCCTAATTCCACATTAATATCTTAGTCAGGTGGTTGAAGTCAGAGTTCCACCAACAGTGAATTAATGTGCCTTGTCTTCCTACAATCCCTCCAACATTGACTTCCCTTTTTTTAATTGTCATCTTTGCCAATTTGTGTGATACAAGATAGAATCTTGGGTGTTTAAATGTGTATTTCTCTTACTATTAGTGATTCAGAACGTATTTTCACATGGTTCTATCCTTTCCTTTACAAGGCTGACTGCCATACTCATCTTCAGCCATGTCCATCTCTGGAGCAAGATGGCTCTCTACTGCCTGCCTATTCCTAAGGGGTAGAGAACTTCTGCTCCATGGGTCACATCAAGCCCCTAGTTTAATATCATTCCTGCTGAGCCCCAGCAATGGGTGTCTTGCTGTCCAAGGACCACCTAGCACATCCATTCCTATTCCTCTGCATCTGTCACATCTGTTTCACAGCAAATAACAAGAGGAAATCTCTATATTCTATGTAGTTTTAAAAAGCTTTAAAATGAATATCTTAAAAGACCACAAGATGGCGATGTTACTTCAGGAAACAGTCCTTTTCTCTGCTTTTTCTGAGATTGTTTTTGTGTTTCTCTGTCCCTCTATTGGTCTCTCTCTTCTTATAGAACTCATCTATTATTCCTTGTACTTTCTTCAACAGTTTTATGTTCCATCTCTGCTTTGACTTGAAAAAAAGTTGTTAATGAATATTTTGTAGTTCCTTCTCACTTACAGAAAAATATAGTAACTTTTTTAATGTTTTCTTTTTTTTTTCTTTAACTTGCTTCATTGCATCAGTGAGAAGTCTCTCAATAATAAAACAAAACTTAATGTTGAACCATTAAAATGACCAAGCTTGGCCTCTGAGGAAGGGATAAGATGGTAGAGGCCAAAGACTATGAGTATGGAATGTTGTATATGCTGTCAGACACAATCTGTTGGTTTTGCTGATATTCTGTGTGTGTTTTAATTTTTGTTGCAAGGGAAGGTTCATTAGGGAGGAGCCAAGAGGAGTGGTATGGGAGTGGTATATTCAAAAATGCAAAACCAAAAGATGTTAATAACAGTTAATAATAAATAAAATTCATAATTACTCCCCCCAAAAAAGAAGGTTCTTAATCTCAGGCCTATAGGACTATGGTGCCTGTCAGACCAATAGATTTCCAAAATTAAAGTCTCTCCCATCAGATAAATGTAGACCTTCCCAAGAGCAGAGAGGCCTGTCTTCTCTTTTCTCATTCCCAATAACAACCAGTACAAAGATCTAACTGAGCCTTGAAAAGTAACTTACAGAGAATTGGTCGTCAAGGGACTCTGTGCCCTCACTTAGGGACCCTCTCAATGGTTACTAGGTCACTCAACTTTGGGATTTTACTGTCACTCGCTATCAGGTGACCAGATACATTCTCTGACTCTGTAAAGGTCACTGCCCTTCAATTCGCCCTAAGTTACCCAGAAGAATCTGTGTGAATTGAGGGGAAGGATTTTAAAAGGTGATGTTGAGAAAATGGAGAAGCTTACATGAGTCAGAGTCAATATAGAAGATCAGGGAAAAGAGTAGAAAGAGAAGGAAAAAGAAGAGCTGGTCTCCGTAGGAGACCTACCTCACTGAGATGGCGGTTCCTCCTAAAACGGGGTAGAAATGGAGACTTTGACACGTGATGGAGGAAGACAAGGAAGAACATGAAGCTGCAAAAATAAAGCATTGAGCCAATACCCCTGGCAGTCTGTATTTCCTTCATCAGCACCTGAAGTATATCCCAGGTCTCTCCCAGGTTACTCAGTAAAAGGTTGCTGATATCCATCTTCCCCAAAGCAGAGCACCAACAGATGATTCTAGCATAAAGAATGTCCCACTGTAGACAGGGTTCCAGCACTGCATCATAGGGCCCTGGAACTTGGGTCATGGAGACTGTCATAAAGGAAAATCTCTAGGTGGGGGTGGAGGGGGAAATCAGAAGAAGGTGGGCAAGAGCTTCTCCCCATGGTCCATCATAGCACCTCCCCATCTTTTCCCCTTCCTTCCCACTCTTTTTCTGGGCCTTAGGTGGCCATTATACTAATCCTACCTCCAGCTATCTCCTCCATAGAGTTTTAACCCTGATTTTTTCTTCCATTTAACCAGAAAAAATCCACTGAGTCCCCTCAGTGCCACTGTTTTTGCTTTTGAGGTCATTGAGATTAAGTGACTTGACCAGAATCACACAGCTAGTTATTAAGTGTCTGAGGATGGATTTGAACTCAGGTCCTCCTGACTTCAGGGCCAGCACTCTATCCACTGTGCCACCAAGCTGCCCCAATCATAATATAATTATAACCCACAGATCTAGGTTTACATAAACCAGGTTCAGTCTTGGGAGAGAAGGGAAAGTTGTATCCAAATCCTATTTCTACTTCATTTTGTCCCCACCAAGAATTTCTTCTGGAAGCCTCAGAAGATCTTGTCTAGGCTCCACTGATATAGGATAAAAGGGTTTCCAGCTGAAAGTATTCTAAGGAACTATATACTTTTATTTTACCCCACAGAAAACGCAACACAATATATAGGATTCAGTGGTTCATAAACAGTAGCTAGAAATTCCCCTTTCTGTGATTCCCACTTTCTACCCCAGGAACCTATAAACTTTCCCATCTTTATGGCATTCTCTTAAAGGTTTGCACTCCCCCAGAAGGAAAATACTAAAGAGGCAACCCCTCACATTCCAGTGACACCAATACCGGTCTCTAGTCTTATAGTACTTAGGTCAGCTAGGTGGCTCAGTGGATATCTTCCTGAATTCAAATCTGGCCTCAGACACTTACTAGCTGGGTGACCCTGGACAAGTCACTTAACCTTGTTTGCCTCAGTTTCCTCATCTGTAAAATGAGCTGGAGGAGAAAATGGCAAATCACTCCAGTATCTTTGCCAAGAAAACCCCAAATGGGGTCATGAAGAGTCAGACATTACTGGAAATGACTGAACAACAAGAAAACAACCTCCCCTTCTCTGTCCCCTTAATTTATCCTAAGCTCCTCAAGAACATCTGTGTGAATTGGAGGGGGAAAAAGGTGTTGTAGAATGTAGAATGGTGTAGAACAAAGGAAGAAACTAAGAATCAGTCAGCGTGAAGAAATAGGGAGAGGAATGGAAGGGTAGGTGGAGGGAGCATCTCTATAGGGAATCTGACTGGATCCCTTTACCTTAGAGAAATGTTTGTTCCTCTTGAATTGAAGTTGATAGATAGACTTATTGAAATGATAGAGCAGCAAAAGGAGTAATACACTGCCCAGGAAGTAGATGCCAGAACCAATTCCCCGTACACTCAAGACTGGACCCAGCAGTGATTCTATCATATTCCAGGTCATTCCAAGATCCCTCAGGATGAGGGGACCGGCTTCCATCCTGTCCAAAGCTCAGTCTCCACTAAGACGTCTCGGACACTGAGAATGCCCCACCCTAGGCAGAATTCTAGTTCTGCATCATAGAGCCCATGGAACTTGGGTCAGTAACAAGGGTGGGGGAGGGTGTCATACAGGGAGAGAAAGGGGCAAATCAGGGGGTCATTGATAATGGCTCACACACACACCCTGCTTTTCCTCATATACCTACTCTGGATTCTTTGAAGTTATCAAACAAAGGAAAGGGTTCTCTTTGGTGACCTATGGGAGTGCCCCCATATATTGGGCTGAATTATTCTGGTTTTTAAGATAATGTGAAAACTGTCCAGGAGTCATTTCCTTCTCCACTCTTTAACTAGAGGGAGAGAGCTACATAGTTAGGTTGTCAGGGGTTCTTAACCTTTTCTATGTCATGGACCCCTTTTGGCAGTCTGGTGAAACCTTTGAACTCCTGAGAATAATGTTTTTAAATGAATAAAATAAAATACATGGGATTACAAAGGAAACCAAATATATTGAAATACTGTTATAAACACTGTTTTTTAAGTTCACAAACCTCAGGTTAAGAACTTTTGGCTTAAGTGGTTAAGTAATATTAATTAATTCATTTTAGTTAAGTAACATGAGTTGAATACCTAAACTCTACCACTGACAACCAGAATGAGAGTGATTCTCAATATTAAAAAGTTTAATTTGGCAGTTTTCTGGTGGGAAAGATATTATAATTGTCTGGGACTGTGGGCCAGATGAAAGGCAGATCCAGAGTAGGACAAGCTAGGTAGCTAAGTTTGAAAGAAAAGAAAAGAGAGAGAGAGAGAGAGAGAGAGAGAGAGAGAGAGAGAGAGAGAAAGAAAGACAGAAAGAAAGAAGACAGACAGACAGAAAGAAAGAAGAAAAAAGAAAGAAAGAAAGAAAGAAAGAAAGAAAGAAAGAAAGAAAGAAAGAAAGAAAGAAAAATTAATTCACTGTAACCTGGGACTGGTGATTGTCCCCCTGTTATGGTACGGGTGGGAGGTGGGAAGATGAAGATGGGGGAAGGGAACAAATATTTATTAAGTGCTTACCTACTGTGCACCAGGCACTATACTAAATGCTTTACAAATATTATCTCACTTGATCTTCACAAAAACCCTGTGAGGTAAAATGCTAATACTATTTCCATTTTACAGTTGGGGAAACTGAGGCAGATAGTTAAGTGACTTGCCCAAGGTTACACAGCTAGTAAATGTCTAAGACTGGATTTGAACTCAGGTCTTCCTGATTCCAGGCCCAGCTCTCTAACCATTATACTATCTAGACCTGATTTTTCTTGACATAGGGAATTCCTAGATAAGGAAATTTCTTCAATCAATGCAAGTCAGTATCTTCTCTGCAATTTATAATCTTAGAGAGTTGTCTACTAGGGCAACCTGTCAGGTTAAATGACTTTCCCAAGGTCACACTGCTGGTATATATCAGAAGCAAGGCTTGACCCTAGCTTTTCCTAGCTTAGATGTCTTCTGTCTACCTACATGTTACTTCTCTATCCTACTGCATTATTTCCAATTTTGTATATTGTCTTTTTCTTTGTAAATAAACCAAAGAAAACATATTTTCATGATCTATAGCGGCTATCTATCTATGGCTGAGCCACCCAGTTACAGTGACAGCTACTGACTTAAGGGGGGGGGAGTATACTTAGAACCCAATATGCCAGATCTCTAAATCCAGGGACCAGTGGAAGTGTGAAGTATAATGCCTAAAGGTGGGATTCAGTGATGTTAAATTTACAAAGAAGTAAAAGGTAGAAACCTCAGGGCCAAATTAACAATTTCCTTAATTCAGGTGTTGCCTAGATAGGGTTCAAGCTTATCTGTGACCTAGATACTTTACAATAAGTAACTTGATTTAGGGTTGTGAGAGTTCCCTCAAGATTAATGTCTGTGTTATATGAGTTACCTTACCAGGCAGGTGCACTGGACATAGAGGAAGCCTATTTGCTGAAAGGGGCCAATCAGGAGCCTGCAGTGAGCCATAGTCTTGCTCACTCCCAGATGTCTTTGCTGGTGTTCGCTGGCTGCCCTTGCTGAGCTGTGCCCTCTCCCCACCTCAAACTAGCCTAAACCAGCCTTCCAGTCAACTATTTCTGCAAAACATCCTGCTTCTGGGTCCCACATGTTCCTGGGAAAGACTATCCATTCTTTGCCCTAACCGCTCACCAAACCTCTCCTTTGTAGTTTTCAAGCATAAATTGCCTCTCCCTCTCCTAGGCTACGGGCTCCTTTGTACTTTGTACTGGGGTGTCTGCACCAGTGTCTGATTTTCCTCAATAAAACTTTTCTGCTGTCAACTCAGCTTGGAATCCCTTGCATTTTGAGGGGTGGGCTTTGCCTGCTTGACAAGGGTAGTGCTGGTACTCACTTATCCTACCTCCTCTAGAAAACTTTCCCTGATTATTGTCATCCGTTTTCCAAATCACTAGCAACATCCCCCAGGGCATGTCAATGGACCCTTACGTATTGTAACCGTCTAAAATAATTTACTATAAATGACCTGTGCAATATGTCAAAAATCTCTTGAATCACTGGGTCAAAATGGTAACTATAAAGCATTGACATAACCAGTTAAATTTACGTTTAAGTCAACGAATTTCAGTGTACAAAATATCATCACTTTTCAGTCATTCCCTCTAAGACTCTATCAGGATTCTTTGTCCATTCATTCCTATTTACTTTTCCTTTTATGTGGTTGTAGTTACTGTATATCCTTCTTCCAGGTTTTCTTTTTCTACTTTGCATTATTTCACAGAGTGGTCTGGGTACGATACACATCCTTTTCTTTTCCTCTAAGAAGTCACTCTCAGCTCGGGTATCACACAGGTACAACAGAGAGTCTGTTAGAGAGTCTGACTTTCTGTGGAGAGAGGGGTTAGACTCATTCTCTGGCTCTTTATACCCTAAATGACTGCAGAGATGCAGGGAAAATTACCCAGGCTTACATTTGGCCAATATCTAGGCTCTCCCTCAAAGGGGGCAGTCGTAAATCATGTATTTGTCAGCTATTTGCCATAAGCAAAAGAAATAACACAAGAGATTCATAAGCATGCATTAGCAAAGATTTAAACAAGAAGCAGTAATAATTTAGTGTTGTTATACTCTCCCAGAATTTTGATATTTGAAATGTTGAACATGAGGCAGTTTTTAGGACCCTAGCTGGTCCCAATTCACCTCAACTCTGCCTTCTTTGAAACACTCTCTTGGGGCAGCTCAGTGGCACAGTGGATAGAGCACTGGCCTTGAAGTCAGGAGGACCTGAGTTCAAATCCGGCCTCAGACCAAACACTTGACACTTACTAGCTGTGCGACCCTGGGCAAGTCACTTAACCCCAATTGCCTAAAAAAAAAAAACCCAACAAACATATAAAACACTCTCTCAAGGTCTGGCAAGTTAGAGGCAGAGCTCCTAG